TCCATAGGGTCTGTTCATTAAGTAATGCCTTAATAGTGTTAGTGTTTCTGAAGTACAGGAACTCTGAGGGTCTTTAGAGCTTTCATTGCATAATGAATGGAAATTTAACGGTTGAGTTTCATAACCTGATTGTACATTAGTAGTTTAAGCACCTATTAATAGGATAATCTGGGTACACTGATAAGTTCTACATACATGACTGTTAACATCACTAATATTTTGTGGTAGTTTAAGGTTTTTTATTGTTTGGTATAACAAACTATCCAAGAAGCTGGACTTTATGTAACATAATCTCCAAGGACCAAGCTGCATATTTAAACACCATGAATGAAAAATACAGGTGTACAGTTTCAAAAATGATTAATTTTTTGAGGGAATTTTTGAAAACAAAAGGCAAATACTGTTTCAAGCCTATAAGCAAATTCATTCAAAGAAGTGAATACAGTTGTAAAACATTGCAATTGTTGCAATAAAGAGCATCCAGGCCAGTGATTTGTTTAATTACATTCACATTTTTACATTCACTTTGCCTTTCAAAGCAGGAATATTTTATAAAATTGAAAGAAAACTTTAAATCGTCAAGCTGGTGCTTAAGGATACAAAGTTTGATTTATACAAGTTTCATTTCAAAGGAAGGGACCCTGGAAAGGGGGGTGGGAGGGTTCTTAGCTCTGTTGATAAACTTACTGATGCTTTGTTGAGTCTTCCAGGTTTTCACTGTAAATAATATACCTAACAATGTAATTTTGCTGTTTTTCTGATAGAAAATGGATGAAATACTAAAGAATTAAATTTATTTCATGATAAAAGTTTTCACCAATACTGTGAAATTTTGACTTTCTCTCCTTTTCTAGCCTTGCAAAATGCCATACTGAATACATCATTTTAGACATGGGGTACAGACACACACTGCGGGAACGGTTTCTAGTCAACTGTATTGTAGAAATTGATAGACACACCAAATAAACTCTATGCACCTCAAATAATTGTCTTTATTTCTTCAACGAACTAAGAATTTTAAGGTTATATGTCTTATAAAAGCTAAGGCACTTAGTAATGTTATAATACTTGAATAAGATGAAGTTAAAGTTTGATAATTAACACTGGCTTTATAATGCCTCTAATTGTATATAATTATATTTAAGATACATGTGGTTGAGGATTCTTTTGTAGATCCCTGGATTTAACCAAAATGCACATTCTAAAGGAGTTTTAAAATAGTTTTATTTCGTGAAAAAATTACTCAGAGTTACCTTTGGGAAAAGTGATGTTAACACCAAAAATCAATTATGCCAGCAAAAAGTTTGTTTTAGTGCCAATGCAGACATATATTTTTTCTCTGAATTCCCATAAAACTTCTGCTAAGATCTGAGCTGTAGGTTATGCAAAGAGTAAGTTACATCAGAATGCACCTACGAAGAATTTGGACATTTTTGTTGACTTTATAGTTCTCTATTTCAAGATGACTGTCATTATATGAAGAAAGATCGCAAGTTATACATGTCTTCACAGATGAGAAAACTAGACTTAAGAATTAGCAATATTAAACCTTATCAAGAAGACATGACTTAAAAAATATTGTTCAAATGCTAATTTTTATATTAGTAAACAATCCAGATACATTAAGACAAAATACCCCTTTTTTTTAACAGCTTTCCAGCTTCCCTAGTAGCTATGTTGTTGATTCAAGTATAAATTGATCAGTGATAAAATGATAAACAAATGGCCCATGTTTTTAATATTGGTAGGCTACAGCAAACAGTTTATTTTTCATATCGTAACATGAAAAATTAAATAGACGGGGGTGCCTGGGTGGCTCAGTCTGTTAAACGTCTGATTTCAGCTCAGGTCATGATCTCACGGTTTACAGGTTCAAGCCCTGTGTCGGGTTCTGTGCTGACAGCTAAGAGCCTGGAGCCTGCTTCAGATTCTGTCTCCATCTCTCTCTGCCCCTCCCCCACTCGTGCTCTGTCTGTCTCTCTCTCAAAAATAAACACTTAAAAAAATTCTTAAATAATAATGTTCTCTGAAAAGAGAAGGTATAATAACTGTTAACTGCTAGTTAACAGTTAACTAGCCCATTTCAGTTAAAACTAAAAGTCTTGGAGGGGGGTGGAGGGAGGGGGGGAGCGGAGCCTGGGTGGCTCAGTTGGTTAAACGTCCTGCTCTTGGTTTTGGCTCAGGTTGTGATCTTGCAGTTTCAAGGGTTTGAGCCCCTCGTCAGGCTCCACACTGACACTTAAGAGCCTGCTTGGGATTCTCTGTCCCCACGCTCTCTGCCCCTCACCCAGTCATGCTGTCTCTGTCTCCTTTGAAAAAAATAAACTAGAAAAAAAACTAAAAGTCTTGGTCAAACAGGATTGGCATGTCAGGGCAGCTGCTCAGTCCCCAAGGCTGCCCCTCAAACCCCCACTTCAGATACCAATCTGCCTGTCATCTGTTATTCTGACTGACCAGCTATAGATGGGGGTTCCAAGAACCCAGTCCCTGGGACAACTGATTTGCTAGAAAGTTCACAACTCAGAGAAACATTTTACTTACTAGATTACTGGTGTGGCTTTTTTGTTTATTTGAGAGAGAGCGTGCTAGCAGGGAAGTGGTAGAGAGAGGGGGAGAGAGAATCCCAAGCAGGCTCTGCACTGGCAGCACAGAGCCCAACTCGGGGTTCAATCTCATGAACAGCGAGATCATGACTGAGCTGAAACCAAGAGTTGGACATTTAACTAACTGAGCCAGCCAGGTGCCCCATTTACTGGTCTATTTTAAAAGGACATAGCAAGGGGGGCGCCTGGGTGGCTCGGTCAGTTGAGCGTCCGATTTTGGCTCACGTCACGATGTCACAGTTCATGAGTTGAAGCCTCACAACAGGCTCTCTGCTGTCAACATGGAGCCCACTTCAGATCCTCTGTCCCCTTTTGTGCACCTCTCCCGCTCACTCTTCTCAAAAATAAACATTTAAAAAATAATAATAAAATAAGTAAAAGCACACAGCAAGAACAGCCAGGTGAAAGAGATACAGGGCAAGGTACTGGGAAAGGGTGGGAGCTTCTGTCCTCTTTCTGGGCACGTTACTCTCCCTGAATGTCCACGTGCTCACCAACCCGGAAGTTCTGCAAACCCTGTCCTTTGGGTTTTTTATAGAGGCTTCATCGCATAATCATGATTGGTTAAATCACTTGCCAATGAGGGCAATCAATGTCCAGTCCCTCTCCCTCTCCTACAGGTGTAGGAAAGTTCCTACATTGTAATCACAGGGTTGGTTCTCCTGGCAACCAGACCCCATCCTTACGGGCGTTCCAAAAGTCTTCTCATTAACATAACCCCTTTATGGCTCTCATCACAGCAAATTCCAAGGGTTTTATGGGCTGTATACCAGGAATTGGATTAAGACCAAATACATATTTCCTATTATAAATTACAATAACACACAGGTAACAAGTATATTTTCTCTACTCTCTAACAAAAATTTTACAACATAGCAGATGTAAAATTTCTCATGACGTAATGCAGAATAAAGGACTAAAGGACATTCCATTCTCTGTTCCATTCCAGCGTTGTAATTTACCATATGAGAATGAAATAGTCCAAATTCTTGTTTTATCAAGGTCTCCTAATGGCAATTTAATAAGTCCATGGAGGAAGCATCATTGATGACTTATAGCCAAAACAGCTATCAGCTGTCTTCTGCAGAACTATCCCAGATTCCTTGGTCCAGCTAGACCAGAAAGCAAAAGCACTCTTCTCTTACAGTGCATTGTTTTCTCTTCCCAGCATCTGGCAATCTGCCCTGGTGACTCTGTGGGATCAGCCAGGAAAATGCTTCCTAGGAAGTGCACTTAAAAAATTCTTGTTGAGGGGCGCCTGAGTGCCTCAGTCAGTTAAGCATCCGACTTCAGCTCAGGTCATGATCTCATGGTTCGTGAGTTTGAGACCCGTGTCAGGCACTGTGCTGACAGCTCAGAGCCTGAAACCTGCTTCGGATTCTGTGTCTCCCACTCTCTTTGCCCCTCTCCTGCTCGTGCTCTCTTTCAAAAATAAATATTTAAAAAAAAATGTTTTTAACTCTTGTTGATAAGCTTGAAACAGGGATGTGATTAATAAAGTATCCAAAATATTTTTACTTATTCTAAAATAAGACTTCCAAAAGATATATCTTATGACTAAGATATAGTTTGAATCAGTCACAGAATCGAAGACTATCTACATCAAAAATTACTAGAGGGACAGTCTAACCTCCTACCCAATACTTTGATCTCTTATGGAACATTTCCAACACCCTTTTGACACAGTTTGGAAAGCAGAACTTTCCACCTTACAATAAATCTCAAGTACATTTCTGAACTATTTCAAAAGTTCATTTTCATAAAATGCTGAAGTCTTCCTCCTTATAATTTCTTCCCCTTAGGTACAGTTCTGTTCCCTGGAACTACTAAGTCATTAAAGGAGTAATTTGGTTTCTCTGAAATAAACTTCATTCCATCTGACAAATTTAATATATTTCTCTTACCCTAGAAGTACAAAGTGTGAAGGTTTGTCTCAATATAGTACAAGGATATCCCTACTGAGCTGACAACCATAACTGGGAGAACCTTACATTTTAAAGAGAAAAATTACAAAGCAGTCCTCACCAGTGAAAGCCATAAAAGGTAAGGAATTAACTCCTTCTGAATACTACACAGAATAAAGAATCCCAAATGCTTAGCTTCTAGCTCTTGGTTGTAAAATTCATATATAAATTCCTAAAGGCTTTTTTTTTTTTTTTTTAAGTAGGCTCCACATCTGGAGTGGAGCCTAACACGGGGCTTGAACCCATGACCCTGACATAAAGACCTGAGCTGACATCAAGAGTCAGACACTTAACCAACTGAGCCACCAAGGTGCCCCCATATTTAAATTCCTAATAAAATACATTCTCTCCTCATCTTTTGATACAACTCCCTTTAGTTTTAAATATCATCCCCTTTGCTCAAGAATTGGCAAGTAGGAAGAAGAGATTTCCACAGGAATTTATTGCTCATTAGTTTTAGAACTTTCCCATAAAGATAATTTACATTTTTAAAACATCCTCAAACATTTAAAAGGCATTATCAGGCATGATCATTTTAAATCACTAACATTTTACTAGCAACATTATGAGCACCTACATCACTGAAACTCTTTCCTCTTACTTTTTTTTAAATAACACTGATGAACTAGTGGAAGCAGTTTCCCTTCTTTGTGAAGCCTATGAGTGTCAGTTGCACCTCCAATAAAAGTTCCATTGACAAATATTCTTGGTACCTGTTGGATAAACAAAAGATTAGGTCATCACTCTCTTGTTAGAAGTATAAGACCATTTCACATAATAATACACCCTCACACTCTAGGTAGTTTTATACACCAGATGTCAGACTACCCTCTTTCACAAAGTATGTACTTAAATCTTCACAACCCTTGAGGTAGGTACTATTTTTAGCCTTATTTTGTAGGGAAATGAGGCACAGGAACTTGTCCAAAGTCACAATGATAGTAAATGACAGAGCTAAGATTTAAATCTAGGGCAATCTGACACTTAAGCCCCTCCTTCTAATTGCTATGGCATATAAAAGGTAAAATAACAGTCTATAGTTACTGTTTATACGTTTAGGTGGTTCTTTCGTAGGTGGTTCTTTGTTTACTAAAAGGGAAGATATGCTATTAAACATCTTCCATGCAAACAGAAACAAAAAGGGAAATGGCGACATTGTATATTTTCCTGACAATGCATTTCACTGAAAAAAATGCATATTACTGGACAAATTTCAGGAATCTAAAAACATGAAGAACTAAAGCACTCCTATTAGCACAGTACCTGAAGACTGACCCCTGGTCTGTACTGTTCAAGTAAAGGGAGGAAGGATTTCATCTTAGGAGCTCCAGGAGGACCTTAAGGATTCACAAACACTCATGACAACACTATCACCCCACTCTTCCAGTCAAAACACACACACTCACACACACACACACACACACACACACACACACACACACACACACCACGCCAAGAATAAAAATAAAATGAATGAACTCTGCTGTATCCAGTCTCTGAATCTTGTTCCCAGATCTGCCATTTCTTTATCAACACAAAATTCTTAGAGGATGAGTGAACACCTGGCCCACTTTTCCTCACACGACAGTCCAGGCTCTAGGTGACCCAAGTCACCACCTATCTGGGGGAAAAGCACCACCAAAGATACACTCACGGTTCTTTCACCGGTCATTTTGTAGAGAGCATCTTGAAATTGACTTCCATGTTCAAGCATGTCCAATTCCACCACTTTATAGTTAACATTCATGTCATGGAAAAGTTTTTTCGCCATCATACAGTAAGAACAAGATGTTTTTGAGAAAATCACCACACAATTATCAGAAATTGTTTCCTGAAGTCAAACAAACAAACAAAATAATTATTTTAATTCTAGGCATTAACTCCTGGAAAGAAATCATGATTATAGTGGAAAGGGTATGGTTTCTGGAGTCTCATGACACAGTGCTCAAACTAAGCCCCATCATCTATTTTCTTATCTGTATATTGAGAATATTATTCATTTCCAAGGGATGTTTTTAGGTCAAAAGGATGTAACAGATGGAAAGCTGGCATGGAGTGATAACAATAATCACAGCACATTCATATCCAGCAAACATGTCTGTGTGCCTTTACTAGCTAACGTAACCTTTACTAGCTCATTTAAGCCTCATTATAATCCTGAGATAAGGTCCAGTTATTATCTCTACTTTACGGATGGGGAAAGTGAGACACAGAGGAAACTAAGTGACTTACTCATAGTCCTCATCTAATAAGAGTTGGAAAGCTGGGATTTGAATCCAGGCAAGTATAATTCTACAGTCCAGGCACTTAAACTCTGTTACCTTGCCTCTTAAATACTCAGTAGGTATTCAGAAGTTAACTCCTTACCGTCTTTAACTTTTAATGGTGAGGACTGACACATGATTTCTCTTTAAAATGTAAGGCTTTGGGGCACCTGGGTGGCTCAGTCAGTTAAGCAGCCGACTCTTGATCTTGGCTCAGGTCATGATCTCACAGTTTATGAGTTCAAGCCCAGTATCAGGCTCTGCACTGTTGGTGCAGAGCCTGCTTGGGATTCTGTCTCTCCTTCCTTCTCTGTCCCTCCTCTGCTTGTGTTCTCTCTCAAAATAAGCAAATAAGCTTAAAAAACAAACAAACAAAAAAAACAACCTACCCCTCAACTTCCACTCCTTCCTGTATATCTTTATAGTAAAAAACAAAAAGAAAAAGACAAAACAAAAAAAAAATCTTATTACAGTATTGATAAGGTCTTCTTACACTGTTGTTCCTGGAAAACCCACTACCGGAAATGCTGATTCAACGGGTTTCATGCAGAAGTCAGAAACTACTTTTAAAAGGGGCACCTGGGTGGTTCTTGATTTCGGCTCAAGTCATGATCTCAAGGTTTGTGAGTTCACGCTCCACATCATTCTCTGCACTGACCATGCGGAGTCTGCTTGGGATTCTCTCCCCTGCTTGTGCATGTGTGCTCTCTCTTGCTCACTCTCTCACAAAATAAATAAACTTTAGAAAATAAATTTAAAAAAAAGAAACTATTAAAAAAAAAATGTCCCAGATGATTCTAAGATCAGCCTGGTCTGGAAACAACTCTCCAGGCCTTTATCACAAAGACCATGAGACTTTGCTATGCATTTGTGTCACCTGTGAAATTTGTTTTCTTTTTTGTCTCTAAATATTTGAATGCCCAGGTCCTTCAAGAGATTCTGAACAGACAGGTCTAGCACCCAAGCATCTGTCTAACTTGTTCTTATGTGGGTCATAAGCAACACCTTCCAGATGAAAGCCAAAAATCAAAGGGTAGAGTACCCAGGCAAAGTAATTCTAAAGGTACATCCATCCTTTGGTGTCAGAAGGATTTTAAGGCACAGTCTAGCTATCTGCAAATGGGTCTACTTTATGCTTTCTCTTCTGCTTATTCATAATATTTAGTAAGAAGTCTGTCTCGGGGAAAGCCAGTCACACTGGAAATGTATTAATGAATCTATGTTATAGGTGAGAAAATTGAGGCTGACAAGTTAACAATACTAGGATTTTACCCAACCTGTCCCAACACCAAACCCAGTGTGCTCTTTCCTCCACCATGCTGCCTGAGGTTATAGGCACACTGAAACCGTCATTTAGAGAGAGCTGAGCATCCCAGGTGCTGACACGCAGTAAAAACAGTGAAGAGATTCCAAAGTGAGTTGAAACTCAAGATGACGGTGACAGTTCCTCGAGTGATCCTTCTCACCTTCTCTCAAGCTCAACCTTGCTAAGTTTTCATGATTTTGTATTCTTTTCAAAGAGGCAATTCCCTCACAATAGGTTTCCAACATTGCTGTTACATTCATCAGCTGTTTTTTAGCCAAATAAATTAAAGGCAGAAATGTTTGTATGTGGTGGTGGTTGGTGGTGAAGAACAGAGAAAGATAAACATGAGTATGTGATGTAGACTACAAGGGAAGAAAAACATACACACAAGAGAAGTTTTCTGAGGCAAAATTAACTGGGGCTTGCAGTGAAAGAGAGGAAAATAGTACACAGCAGCACACGGTGTTCCTGAGGGGATCATTTATAGAGTAACTACAGCGTACAAAGTTCTGTTAGGGAAGAAAGCTGTTAAACAGCTTCCCAGGCCAAAATCAAACACGATCCCTAGCTAAAAACAGCTTGACTGCTATCAAAAGTAGACCTGAGTTAGGTCTGATGGAAAGGAGGAGCTAACTTCACAGATCCAACTTAGAGGGAGTAAAGGCTCTATTAATAATAAATCTCGTAAATTGTGACTACCAAAATGATCTAGAACTTTTCCTGCCACATGGATTATTTTGAGAGCAGATTTTAAAATATATACTTAGTAATTCATTTGCTGAACTATGTCAGTTCGGATACTGAAAAAGCACATTAAATGTGTAAGACATAATTCTTTTTCCACATAGGAAAGTTTTTTCCTACATCTCCCACATCACTCACTTGAATCTGATTCACAGGAGCAGTTGCTGACGTCCCCAAAGATGATGATGTGCTGTTCCCCATCCTAAAAAGAATTTTAAAAGGCAATGTAGCTTTAAACATTAAAGATAACATATCATTAAAGACAATATATCAGACAAGATCCATTTGAATAAAACCTGATATGCAGATATAGATCCAAATCTATGAAACAGAAAAAATAATTTTACTTATTATTAGTACAAAATATCAGTTTACAAAGTATTTGTTTACTAAAACCAAAAGGGACTGTGTGCTTCTCTAACTAGCCTCCTAATGTCCTTAATTATTTGGTTAAGTAGCATTTACTGTGTTTAAAGCCTGGTGCACTCTTATTTCCGAACACCAAATTTCAAACAGACTGTCCTAAAGACTGATCTTATGACCTGACCATTAGTTTAAAAATACAGTTCCCATTTTCTTATTAAAACATGCTAAATCTCGGGGCGCCTGGGTGGCGCAGTCGGTTGAGCGTCCGACTTCGGCCAGGTCGCGATCTCGCGGTCCGTGAGTTCGAGCCCCGCGTCAGGCTCTGGGCCGATGGCTCGGAGCCTGGAGCCTGTTTCCGATTCTGTGTCTCCCTCTCTCTCTGCCCCTCCCCCGTTCATGCTCTGTCTCTCTCTGTCCCAAAAATAAATAAACGTTGAAAAAAAAAAATAAAAATAAAAATAAACAAAAAAAAAAACAAAAAAAAACATGCTAAATCTCCATGCACACCCTGTGAAACAATCTACAAAGATTCAAAGATTTTAAGGAAACTAAGGTATCTCAACCACAACATCCATAGCTACAAGTTTCCCAATCCGTAAAATGGGAATAATAGTCACTCCTGCATCAAAGGGTTTTATGAAGATTAAATGAATTGATAAAAAGTAGAACAGTGCCTTGATCACAGTAAATGTTCAATAACGTTTAACATTACTAATATTATTCCCTAATTACAGGGATCCTCTAGATATTTATTATCCAAAACCTAGCTGCTGGGAGCTTGTAAAAGGGGCATTCATTGTAACAGGAATATAGTCACTAAAAATTGACTAGTTTTGTATCACCAAATCTCTATGCCTATGCCTAAAACCTTTACCCATCCACCTGTCTTTCATCATCAGCCAGGCCTTACTGCATTGTCCAAACCATATCCAGCATCCGGATGCAAACTAATTAGAGTAAAATTACAAATCTTACAAAAGAATCATAAAATAATCCAGGTTTCAAGAGAATTACTCAAATTATATAAAGATTAAGAGAGTAAGATAAAGAATTGAAGCTTCAAATATTTCAAAAAATATTTTCCTAACCATTATGTTGCAAAACTCAAGTTTTGATAGAAAAAAAATCTCCCTCTAAACATTTCATTCATTCACTGTGAGTGTTAAAATTTAAATGTTGGGGGCATCTAGCTGGCTCAGTCGGTAGAGCATGTGATTCTTGATCTTGGGGTTGTGAGTTTCAGCCCCACATCAAGGCATAGAACTTACTTTAAAAAAAAATAGATTTTTATATGTTATCCTTGGAGGATGAGTAACTGATCTATATAGCCATGCCTATGCACTTAGAATAAGGATGCTATAGCAAACATCACCTTCAGTAATTACAAGTTAGAGGCAGAGACCACTCCAAGGGAACATTATAACATTAGAACTCCCCAATGTTTACAATCTATTATTCCTTGCTTCCCAATGGTTGGCAAGGAAATATTTAAAACAAAAAGGGCCTGTGCACTTATCTCAGGAAAGGGTTAGGAGTAGCAAACTAGGGAAGACAACAGCCAACTTAGGAAGACAGCAGAGGGTGCAAATCAAGAAAAAAGCAGGCTGAGTTCCTGGAGCCTAAACCAGGGGGGAAAAGGGGGGCAGGGGCAGTAAGTAGCACTGACCTGGACCTAAGAAGGTGCTTTAATGTAATAAATCAGCAACCTGTCTGGTTTATCAACTAAGAAAACAAGTTCCATTCATCTTCAGTCCCACATCTAATTGTCATCCCCAAAACATCTATTACAATATTTACTATTGAAGCAGTTTCAACAGAACCTTCACAGGAATATTTCCTTGGGGAGTGAGAGGAGTTAGGAGATGCATCTGAAATATCACCCTCTACCCACCCAAATAAAAGAATAAGTTTCTGGAAAGCAACTTTCTCCTCCAATTCTGGTTAAGCTTGGCAAAAGTTATTACCCAATAAAGAAAAGGACATCAACTGAGAAGTGCACAAGCAACTTTTCACTTCAGTACTCATGTACCCACTCGCCAGAACACATTTATGGAGCACCTACTAGATACTAAGTAGGCAAAATGCTAAATGCTCCAGGAATACATATCATTGGAAAAAAACACCCAAGGACCTGTCAGTCAAATAATTAATACCACGTGATTAGTGATTAGCACCTTCCCAAGTGGGTCACCAACTTAGCCAATAAAGTTAATCAAAAGTTCCTGGAGTCTTGGGGCGCCTGGGTGGCTCTGTCAGTTAAGCGTAGGACTCTTGATTTTGGCTCAAGTCATGATCTCAGAGTTCATGGGATGGAGACCCACCTGGGACTCTGTATTGACCACATGCAGCCTGCTTGGGATTCATTCTCTCTCTCTCTCTCTCTCTCTCTCTCTCTCTCTCTCTCTCTCTCTC